TTGTCTGTTTTTGGAGTTAGAATGTTGATTACTAATGTGCTTAATTGGTTTCTGGCTTCAATTTTGAAAGGCCTTACCAGTGACTATTTGGGCCTTAAAAGGTAAAATGGATCTAGGATGGTAAAATTAATGCAACATGGGCAGTGACCAATAAAGATATAATTTCTCTAGAAAGCTTATGAGCTCCTATTAATATCGTTATCAATTATTAACTGCTGTTATGGCAGGGATTACAACGATTTTGCACAGAGCATAAAATTAAGTTGTCAAAGGTATCGAATATACTTTTGTTTATTAGGTGGATCTATTTGCCAATTTGTTCACTTTCAGTCTAACTCTGATGCGGATGTTTTCTCCAGATAGATCACATATTTCTCTCACGTGTCTGCTCAGAGACAGCGGGTGGACTTCCAGGTTTATCTTGAATCTTCATTGTAATCATTCGTAGAAATTGATATACCATTATTTTTAAGCTTTAGTTTTATGGTAATTTTAATTCTGTATATGCGAAAATGATTCTACAGGCCCTGAATTGCTGAGTTTTAACTCATTGTTGCAGGTTTGTTGCTGACTTTGGCTGGCATGGGAGAAGAAGGCTATAGTGTAAGTCCTCGACTGATCTAAAATATTTAACTTTTCCTTGACATTGTTGTGCCTATTACTTAAACACTAGCCTATATTGCTATAAAGGTCAAAATATGGGGCCCCTCAGATCTTGATTTTTTAGTTGGTGCAATGAAATCTTTCATTCCACATGCAACCATGGTTCACACTCAGAGCTTTGGGCCGGCTCTCACTTCTGATGCTGCTGCCACTGTGCCTGCTCCAAATAAAGCTTCAGATCGCATTGTTCTTGTCAAAGATGAGGTTGTCAAAATATCAGCGGTTCTCCTACATCCACATTGCTCAGGACAGTCCCAAATTAAGCCCGGTGAAATGTCCGTTGTATATATTTGTGAATTGCCTGAACTTATGGGGAAATTTGACCCAAAAAAGGCTGCAGCTCTTGGCCTGAAAGCTGGGCCAAAGTATAGTGAGCTGCAACATGGTAAATCAGTGAAGTCAGACCGCCTAGATATCATGGTAGGTGATCTGTGAACAAGGAAAATATTTGTGGCCTTTCTATGCTTTGGTGCATCAGTTAATTGTCTAGTTACTATACTTTTCGACCCATAATAAATTTTCCTTACCATGCATAGGTTCATCCAAGCGATGTAATGGGTCCTTCTGTTCCTGGTCCTATTGTCTTCCTCGTTGACTGTCCAACAGAATCTCATGTACAGGAATTGTTGTCCATAGAATGCCTAAGTGAATATTACACAGATGTATCAAGTCAACTAACAGAGAGTACTAAGGTGGTAAACTGTGTCATTCATTTAAGTCCTGCTTCCGTTGTAAGCAGTCCCAACTATCAGAAATGGATAAAGAAATTTGGCTCAGCCCAACATATCATGGCTGGACATGAAAAGTGAGTCAGTTGCTTCTTGCATGAAAGTGAGTTTTGCTCCCCTGGCCTATTAACTGAGGAATTTTCTTATATTTGTCATGTTGCTTGCAGGAAGAATCTTGAGGTTCCAATTCTAAAATCAAGTGCAAGAATTGCAGCACGACTTAATTACTTATGCCCACAGTTCTTTCCAGCTCCAGGTTTCTGGTCTCTTCAGCACCTTAATTACTCAGCATCAGATGCTCTTGCTTCATGTGAGGTCTGTTTACATCCTACAAGTGACATTTTTGGACCATCAGGTTGATTATATCGTGAAAAGTTTGGAGGCAACTGAGTATTATTTCTTTTTACCAGGGTCTCACTTCAAAGATCTGTGAAAGCATTTCTGCTGAAAATCTCTTAAAGGTATTTCTCTTGGGGTTGATGCTGGTTCTTTTTCTTTAAAAATAAAAAAACCTTAAGAACCAATTTTCCTGCTATAAAATGACTTTTTTTTCCTGTTCCATGAATTAAGTGAAACAATTTGGTGGTTAGATGTTACCATAAAAAGAAGTCAAAATATTGCTGTTTAGAAGCTTTTGTGGTAAATCACTGACTTTATTTATATTGAGCTCTGGACTCTTAAGAAAATTTAATAGTGCAATAGTTTCCTAGTTAACAGCTTTTCCTACTTATATTTTGGACAGTTTACATTGCGACCTTATGCTCATCTGGGACTGGATAGATCACATATTCCAACTCTGATAGATCAATCCCAAGTAATTGATGAACTTCATTCAGAAATTCCAGAGATTGCAGATGCTGCCGAACAAGTCAGACACTTCTGGCATGGGATTAAAGAAAGTAGAGAGGTGTTAACTCCTTCTAAAGATGATAGAGTTATGATTGAAGAGCCATGGTTGACTGAAAATACTCTGCCCAGTTGTCTTGAAAACATAAGGAGAGATGACCTGGAAATTGTGCTTCTTGGAACGGGTTCATCTCAGCCTTCTAAGTATCGTAATGTTAGCTCTGTCCATATCAATCTTTACTCCAAAGGAAGTTTGCTGTTGGATTGTGGAGAAGGAACCCTGGGACAACTGAAAAGAAGGTAACATGTCACAAAGATTTTGTTAGATATGGTTGTTATCATGGTCTTTACCCTTTTATTTCTAACTCATGATGATTGGTATATTGAGAAAACAGATATGGTGTAGATGGTGCAGACAATGCTATTAGAAATCTAAAATGTGTTTGGATCTCACATATTCATGCCGATCACCACACTGGTTTGGCGAGAGTGCTTGCTCTGAGACGTGATTTATTAAGGGGAGTGCCTCATGAACCATTGCTGGTTATAGGACCACGACAGCTTAAGCGATTTTTAGATGCGTATCAAAGACTTGAAGATCTTGATATGCAGTTCCTTGATTGCAGGAGCACCACAGAAGCTTCATGGGATGCTTTTGAAAGCAATAAAGAATCAAATAATGATGGATCATCTCAAAAAAGTCCAATACATTTGAATGTCAACAATGAAAGCATGCAAGATATTAATGGAACTTTATTTTCTAGAGGAAGCCAAATGCAGAGCTATTGGAGAAAACCAGGCAGTCCGGTTGACCATTCTGCAGCTTATCCATTTCTAAAGAGCTTGAAGAAAGTGCTAGGTGAAGCAGGATTAGAGGCTTTGATTAGTTTTCCTGTCGTACACTGTCCCCAGGCATTTGGCATTGTTTTGAAAGCTGCAGAGCGTGTCAACAGTGTTGGAAAAGTGATCCCAGGGTGGAAGATTGTGTACTCAGGTGACACTAGGCCCTGTCCAGAACTGGTAGATGCATCTCGTGGAGCAACAGTACTCATACATGAGGCAAGTTACCGATTTTGAAATTTATAATTTTATATTATGTTTAATTGAATATCATCATAGCTAATAGCTTTTGTTGCCATCACCTTTCTTCGATAGTATTGGTGCAAGGTTGTACAATTTCAATATCTGTTCGTAGAGAGATTTATGACATACAATTAAGATATTTTGATGGCTGGCGTTTAAATGTATTCATATTTTCCATGCCTATCCAGTATATCTTCTCACTGTTTAAGGCTCTTAAAAGGGTTTATTCAGCTTCAAGTTTACTTTGAAATTGGAGATCCTTTTATGCTTGCATGAACATCACTGGGCTAATTTGATTGACTGGCTTGAACTTGATCATATTACAGGCAACTTTTGAGGATGGCTTGGTTGAGGAGGCCATTGCAAGAAACCACAGCACAACCAAGGAAGCCATTGAAGTGGGTAACTCTGCTGGTGCTTATCGCATTATTCTAACTCATTTCAGCCAAAGATACCCGAAAATTCCTGTATTTGATGAGACACACATGCATAAAACATGCATTGCTTTTGACATGATGAGCATCAACATAGCAGATTTGCCTGTGCTTCCCAAAGTTCTTCCATACCTTAAATTGCTTTTTAGAAACGAGATGCTTGTTGATGAGTCAGATGATGTTATAGATTCTTTGGGTGTAGCTTCATGAAAAATAATGAATTAATTGTTTCTTTTTTTTTTTTTGTAATTTGCATATTTATCTCCTGATTCAGAGCTTACATTTTCCATAACAGTCTTTCAATGTTTAAAACCTGTCCGCCAGAGTTTGTGACCCTGGTGGCAGAGAGGAGCTGCCTTTGCTACCCAAATGGGCTTGTTATATCACAGCACATGTTAGACATCTATAACTATTCATTGAAAATGGAAAACAAATTTTGTTAAGGCAAATGATGGATTGATTAATGCACTCTCTTTTGTCTCATTTGGGTTTGGCGTGTCATATGACAAACTTGAATTGATTCAGATTAATTTTAAAAAGTTAAAGATTTAAATTTGATTCAATTCAAATTTAAAAAAAAAAAATCAAATCCCAAAAAATTTAAACTTGAAATTATTTGAATTTAAAAAATTTAAAATCAACGTGATTCGAACTGTCACAAATAAAAACCCCAAGCCCAATCTGAAATACGAACCCGTGATGCATCAAAATCTTTACATCTTCCTGTTATTAACAGCAGTTAGCAGTAAACTGGAGAACCCCGAATCCAACGGTCAACAAACAGAATAAGAAAAGGAAAGTCTACAATTTTCTAGCGGGAGAGAGAAAGACGAAAGCACTTAAAGTCTCCTACCGTTGAAAGAAGCGAGTATCCAAAAACACTTGAATTCGGTTGGGTATTTGAGTTAAGGAGGTGTTTCACACATTTGTTTAATGTCTTTTTTATAAACTACCTCTTCCAAGTCTTTCTTCCGCTCTTATACCTACTCCTTTTCCTATCTCTTCTTCTCTCATTTTTGAACTAATCCTTATATACTAGAATAAAACAAAATCTTAAAGCTGAAAGTGAAAACAAATATTTCCATCTTTCTGCCACTTTCCATTCATTAAAAAATTTTTGTTTCCTGGAAATCTCTCGACTTTCTTCCACTTTTCTGTCAGAAATGCTTTAAAATTGTTTTTAAAAATTTTATTTTTATAAAAAGTTTCCTAGGTTGTGTTAAAAAGGAAAAAAAACTAACCTTTTTGTGGTTTTCTGAATAATGGGTATAGCTTCATTTGCAGAAAAAAGAAAGATACCAAAGATAATGGATTAAGAAGCAAGAGAATGGGGAGGTCTCAAAGGAAAATGCTTGCAGAAGAAGAGTTTTTGCATAAGCTAGCTTTGTCTATAGCTCTTCATCAGCACAGATTTGATGGATCCATATCAAAGAGAATTGGCTCTACCAGCTCTAGAAGACACTCTGATCCGTTAGCGAATAACGAAAAAAAGGTGGGTTTTTTTTATTAAATACCAATATTAAATTACTTGGCTTTCCTTTACTGACTGTTTTCATGTGTAATCATTGTGTTAATTACTGTTCCAATTGATTGGATCTATGATGGAAACGTAGGGTTTTGGTGATTGATTGTAAAATAGGAGCTAAAGTTAGAAAAAGTTGTTAATCATGTTGAAAAACAGTGTTAGTCAATGGTCAAGCTATTAATATTGGAAAACTTAAAAGGAGAACCTGACAAACTATGTACTTGAATAATCTGCTTTTAGCAATTTATTTTTATATCTTCAAGTCAGTTTTTAAATCTCTCATACAATTTAGTTGAGAAGATGAAGAGATCTTTTTCTGCTTTATTTTATTATTTTTAATCAAAAGATAAAAGGGTTCTTATGATATGCACTTTTTGTTACAATCTGTTTAAAGCTTTATAAGCCCACATTTATCACTTTTCTTTCGGTTATTTTATGAAAGGCAATTTCAAAAGCATTTTTTATTCCGTTCTGCTGTGATGATAAGAATGTGGAACATGGTCCATGAAGGCTGGTGAAAGATCAGTGATAAACTTCATGAAAGCTAAACGTTGGAGACAATTTGTGTTGAAGTAATGGGAAAATGGAAATGCTGAGGTTAAAAAATGTTGAAATAGACATAATTGTATTAGGATAACATTTTTACAAATTATATCCCCTTTCTGTATGGTTTATATATATACCATTTTCATGTTCTCTGTAGGTATTGGAATCTCTTGAAAATATCAAGTTTAAAAGAATCATTCTGATACATGGAGAAGGATTTGGAGCTTGGTGTTGGTATAAAACAATTGCTCAGTTGGAGGAAGTGGGCCTTCTGCCTACTGCATTGGATCTCACAGGTTGTGGTGTTGATCTGACAGATACAAACACTGTCACTACATTGGCAGAATATTCAAAACCATTGATTCAATATCTACAGAACCTTCCTGAAGATGAGAAGGTAAGAGGGTAGATTTGATATTACCATGAGTTTTATTCATCTAAAAAAGCCTTTGCATATGTCATGTTTAATTTATTTTCATTTATTAATTTTTGCAAGTTATTTTGATGGGTCACAGTTATGGGTATAAATGATACATTAGTACTCGTAAGTTATTCGGATTCGATTCGAAGAAAACTCGAATTCGGTTCGATTATTATCGAGTCGAGCTCGAGTAACTCGACTTATCAATCGAGCCGAATTTGAGTATTCTTATATCCGACTTGAGTAGCTCGCGAACTTAATTGAGTTTTTATATTTAAATATATTTTTATTATTTTAATTAATAAAATATTTCAAGTTCGAGTTCGAGCATGAATAATCAAACTCTTGTCGAGTATACGAATCGAACTTATTTTTACATATTAATCAAGCTTAATCGAGCGAGCTCGAATAACTTGAATTCGATCACGAATCGAGCTCGAGCTTGAAAAATAAAATTCGATCGAGTTTGAACCGAATATCGAGTCTCGAATTGTAAGTCGAACTCGAACTCGAGCTCGAGCTTCTCATTATTTAGCTCGACTCGACTCGATTACACCCCTAATCACAGCAGCGGAGGAGCATGCCTTTCTTATGCATTGGAGCATTTCCCAGAAAAGATCTCCAAAGCAATTTTCCTTTGTGCTACAATGGTGTCTAATGGTCAGAGACCTTTTGATGTCTTTGCTGAAGAGGTATTTTATCAATGCCTAGCTTGCTGCCAATTGTTGTACATGGGTGGCATCCAGTAGGTTTCGGATTCAAATTCAGTCATCTTCAACCCCTTCTTATATTCCTAGGCTACTGTCTCCTTTGTACTAAAAAATAATTAAAACGTCACAAACTAGAATGAATTGTACTCCAACCTTGGTTGTTATTTTACTGAATCTTTGTGGTTAAGGTTCTCCCTCAGTTTTCATTGCTCTTTATTATGTGGTTTACATGGTCTCATAAAAAAAAATTATTGCAGCTTGGTTCTGCTGAACGTTTCATGCAAGAGTCGCAATTTTTGATTTATGGAAATGGCAAAGATAAGCCTCCTACAGGGTTCATGTTTGAGAAACAGCTGATGAAAGGGTTATATTTCAATCAATCACCAACAAAGGTATGTTACAAGCCTTAGTGGTCAAGGGGATGATATTAGAGAACCTTGAAAATTCTAGTTATCCATTTTTTACCATTCCAGTACTGAAGAAGACCGGGGGATGTACATGTACAAGTATTAGAAAATAAGAAAATTTTAAAAAAAATTTGGATATTATTTTCATCGAAAGAATTACAAAATCTGTTGGTAATTTTTTTAAATATATATGGACGGACACCTCCAAAAAAAACATCTTAGATCAGGACTGTTGATATCATAATTAATGATGATGCATGTTGGGTTTAATGGGGAATAATATGTTGCATTGAACATGTTATAGCATGTCAATTCTAAATGCTGTGTTAATTAATATATTATTCAACATGGTATTTGGTTCCTTCCAGGATGTATCTTTGGCAATGGTTTCCATGAGACCCACACCACTAGGTCCAATCATGGAGAAACTGTCATTGTCACCCGAGAAGTACGGATCCGGGCGGCGGTTCTTCATTCAGACATTAGATGATCATGCTCTTTCACCAGATGTGCAAGAAAAGCTAGTAAGAGAAAACCCAACAGAAGGAGTTTTCAAGATTAAAGGGAGTGATCACTGCCCATTCTTCTCAAAGCCACAGTCTCTTCACAAAATTTTAGTAGAAATTGTTCAGATTCCATAACTTGATTTTCAGATAAAAACCAACTATTCTTTAACCTTTTCTTTTTCCTGACAGAAGACAAAAGGCACATTACCTGGCTTCAACACTGCGATAGGCCATTCTTGTATGTAGAACACTAGGGCCACCTGTCGGTAATTTGTTCTTTTTCCTTGCAGTAAAGAGACAGGCTGTTATTCTCTTGTAATTTACATGTTCTTCAAACAGTGCAAAACATTTTGGTATGGACAGAAAACACATTAACATGATTTCTGAAAAGTTGTGAACTCTTCAACAAATATGATTCAATATAACTTCTAAACACCTTGCATCAATTCAACCAAAAAAAAAAAAAATCCACAAGACAGTTCACCAGGATCTCCCCTTCCATCACCGCTGATTATCAGCATTATTCTTGATCCAGTACAGTAAGTCTTCCCACCTGATTGCCTGCCGATGCTTGCTCTTGACAGCCCAATAAGGGAATTATCTAGTACCAGGTAAGGATTATTCAAGAACTATTCCGGAGAACACAGCCAAGGCAAATAGATGTTGCAAGTTATCGCAACACGACAGGAGAAGATAAGAACCCTAACATTGGGTGGTAAGGTTGTGCTTGAAAACGCCTGTAAATCAATAAAACAAGCAATAACAATCCTAGAAACAGTGTAGTACTAGTATGAATTAGTTTCACAGGAGAAGATAAGAACCCTAACATTGGGTGGTAAGGTTGCGCTTGAAACCGCCTGTAAATCAATAAAACAAGCAATAACAATCCTAGAAACAGTATATTACTAGCATGAATTAGTTTCACAAGCCCAGAAACAAAACCAAGTAACTGACACATGGAGTAAGAAAATTCATCAACTAATTTAATGGATTTTGATACGCAACGGGCTTACCAATTTAGTTAGATTTTCTAAGAATCTGAAGACGACTTCTGAACCCAAACTTGTTTCTGCAAGTAGATAGAGAAAAGACCATAAAAGGTGAACAAAAGTTGACAACAACTACAGTTGATTCGACACAAAATTGCTGACCTCATGGGCTCCAGAGCTAGTACCACCTCCTCTTTTGGAAGACTTGCCCTTACTTGATATGACAGACCCATCATCCTTCGTATTATTGGCTCTTGGATGCTGACCAAAATGTCCATTGGAACCTTAATGAATGGTATCATCAATAAGGAATTCCTGTAATACTGCATGTGACAAAAATACTGAATCAATCAATTATTGAGACACTAACCATTTTCTGACGGAATAATATGTCCACTGCTTCCATTAGGCATGTCGGCTTTCATTTCTCCTTGGGTAACTGAAAAATCATAGACAGAAAGTGAGGTAAATTAGCTTGCATTAAACAGATTCATTTCTTGCAAATTCAAACAGTACGACATCTTGATACAAGAATTGTATCCCAAATCTGTCCACACTTTGCAAACACCAGATATTCATGTGCAGAAGCGTTAATACCCTCAATGGAATTACAAGAGGCCAGTGCAGATTGTAACACAGAGGGTGTCAGGCGCTCGTCACTAGCTTGTGAAACATCAGAACGATGAAGAGGGGCCATACACCATGATCAGGTTTATCCTTATTTTCTTATACTTTTTCATGCTTCTCACTGCCAGATCCTGAACCATGCAGTCCCTTTTTTATGAACTAATCATCTGAAACTCTTTTAGTATCACCATCAGATTTCAATGCACGTATTTCATTAGAGACAAGACCCAATCGTATATTAGTGGGCCGGCGAGGTCTCTTGACATTGTACAGACTCATAGCTTGAGTTTCCGGCTGACGCTTGACTGCTGCTGAAGATTGATTTTGGCCCGCTTCATTACTCAAAAGTATGCTCCTTAGTAACTTTCCACCAGCCTCATGTCTTTGTCTCTGTCTTGGAGCAGTTGAACCAGGTGAATTTGCTACAGGAGATGATACACCCTGCTGTCCAGAAACACCCTCTGGCTCATAGGAAATTTATAAGGAGATCATCATATTTGCACCAAACTTGAAACAACCAATTCAAAAAATTAACTCCACAAGCACATATAAAAAAATTTCTCAAATCAGTAAAATAAAACTTGAATATAGCTAACAATGGACACCATGAGTGAGTGGAAAGGAGACAAACAAAAGGCAATATCTTATAAGAGGAGCCTCTCGATCTCTTGGTTTCAGGAGCAGGATCTTTTTCTTCCCAGAATCAGCAGAAGAAGTGATTCCAGCTACAGGACCATAATGCCACAGATTGCAATGCAATTAATTACAAAAAAAATGAGGGAAATACAATGAAAAAGAAAAGTTAAAGACCAATACCTGCACCTAAGGTATTTAGTATGTCACCAACTTCCAGCCAAATGAAAGAAGATAATCCAAACTCAAGTCCAGAGAGAGAATAAACCCATCAACTTAAACATACATAAACGCACAAGCTCAAAAGTAAGTACATAGAATGACATGTGGCTCTTGCACTAATTCCAGTATAAAAACAATTACAAGAAAACTAAAGGTCGGCATTATTTCAGCGGTTGTTTTAGAGACAAATAAGAGTAGTCCAAAGTATGAACTTAGGTTGAAATAAAGCTCCATCATGGGGGCCTCGATTAAAGAAAATTTCAGTATATTCCTTTTCTGTGGCGCTATGAGAAAATTGCAGCGGCATTATATCAATGTTCCATGTGTCAGATACACCTGTACACTGGTGTATAATATCTCTGATTTCCAAATAGTATGGGGATAAGAGCCATATCCTTGCTATTGTGGATCATCTGGAGTAATAAATACTTGATTTTTTGTATTTCATACCAATTGTCAAACTCATAATGCTTTATTTTTCTTAATGATCAATCAAAAGGTACGAGATATATGAAACAGAAGGGTGATCACAGATAAATTAAATGCATAATAACAGGTGGAGGTAGTCATTGGCATTGATGATAGGTTATGTGTAAAACAGTCCTCCCGAAACATTTACAATTAGCTTTGCAGTTAAACACATTCATGAAAAACATGCTAAGCTTTCCAGTTAAACATTTTATGAGATGTCTATGGACGCAAAACAAGAGACATATGTTTACAGACAATTTTGAACACTCAAAGAAATTTATATTAGTTTAATCCAGCAATGCACTATAGAACAGCATGAGGGTTGTTTATTGCAAAAACAATCAATAACTTATTTTATCTCTAGAATTGTATCTTGCTCTATGTTCAAAAACAAACAATCGCAATGATATCGCTAACAAATTTGATAAAAATGCTGATATAGCTCTATGTGGTTCATAAGCCTCTGCAAAGACAGTTTAAACCCTCACCAGTTCCATTCTCTCTAATTTCTTTCGCAACAGAAGTCACTGATTGATTCTCTTGCTTGGATGCAACAAAAAAATTGGACTTCTTTGCACCTTTTGCAATGTCTTTTCGAATATGCTGCCAATCAAACAAGTTTCCTTGAATGAGAAATAACAGCTATTCATCTTCAAAAATTGCACATGCACAAATAAAGCATCACATGATCATTGGAAAAGATCATTTAAAATTGCTCCATATGAAAGACAGGCAACGAAAATAATAATTTAGAATATCAAAACTGCATGCAAAATTTTGCTCCAACGATTTGTTACCAAAGTTATCTTCTTTGTAAGTTTAGCTTCTAAAAATAGTACTACTTTTGAAAGAAAGAAAGAGATCTGAGGAGAGTTTTCTTATAAAGTTCCACTAGGAAGAGAAGGAAGGCCAATAGAAGATAGAGAACATTAAACTGATAGAAGCTCGTGGACAGGCATGACGTTCATTTTTAGATAATTTCTCTAGCCTTGGGTTCCATAAACAAATGACAAATATCAATATTTCAGCTTTTATTATGCAGAGTTGAGTGCTATTCAACAGACAAACCCACATGATGAGTAAAATAAAAAGTCTTCGAAACTAAGCACTAGAAACTTCAAATAAAAAAGATAAAAGAAATAAACCGGACAACCTTTCATATTTACAGAAAATTGTCCTTTAATCAGTGTTACAAAGTTTAGGACTTGTAGGACCTCAGTCTACCTTTAGCCTAGTCGGTGCAAGCAGCGTCCTTCTCTATAAGTTTTCGTTGATATCATTGTACTTTTGCCTTTCTTGATATCTCTTATAAATTTCTTCTTTCTTACGAGGAGGCGTGACAGAAAGCAATATCATTTACGCCAAAAAAGGACACTTCAGTCTCCTTAATCAAGAGAAAATTATTCATGGTTAGCCACTGTGGTACGACAGTAATAGAGCGGGCGGTCAGAGTCACTGTCTTTTACTGGTCTGGGATCTGCTTTCTTTAGATGTTAAAAATCTTTTGAGCCAAATGACAAACAGGGGAAAGAAGTTGCCTCACTGAAAATAGTATTTTCTCCTGTGGTTACAATAGTCTGTTAGATTAGCGGATATAATCAAAATTCATTCTAAAAAGTCATTCCTTTCATCTATTATGTGAAACATTTATGATGGTGTAGAGCTTCAGGATCCTAAGATATAGCTCATTCTGTTAAGAGTGTCACTGGTGTGGGATTTCTATATCTACTTGTTGACATTCTCACCTTTCAGGCTTTTGCTTGGTAAAAAAGATTAAAAAAAATGAGGATGAAAATTTTTTTAATTCTATGATTAAGTCACAAAATAAGAAAACAGTTATAAAACCTAATTATTAAATTAAAAATTTTTCCAACGTCGTCTCTTTTTATCTTTCCTAACAAGTAAAGTATAAAACTTTGAGTTTTAGAGATTAACCTAGCCTTTATAAGAAAGTATCCTTCATGCCTTATCCAAAGGAATCTCAAGATGCTTCAAATTTCAGAAACCAGCCTATTTTCACATCTTATTCCACTGTAAGTACCTCCTTAAAATGCTTGCTAATAATCTTTGCTTGTAAAGAGAAAAAGGAATAACTATCAACTAAGAACTGAGTCAAAATTATAAAGCAGATAATCCAGATAAGTCGAAGCTATGCTCTAGTAGAAATAAAAGGCCTCTCATTCACTAGTAGGGTGACTTCAACAAGA